GTAAACGCTGCAAGCAAGATCAATCATCAGTTGTTTGGACCCTATATAGTTCTTTGACCATATCAATTTCCGTCTGCCATTGCCGCATCGAATTCAACCTCCTCGGTCAACTCTTTCATGAACGTTGCAACTAATTCAAACCATGTGCCGCCTTGTCTCTCTCTAGTTCTTTCGACATCTCATCAAGTTACTACACTCTCTGCCCGCCACCTATACACACCCATACCGCTCTACAACCATACTCTTTATTCATCCCGCGTCGAGAATAGCACTCAATCTCCTGACGGGTGCAGAGTCTCGAGATTACTCACGCTTAAGTTATAATAAATTATCAATAGCATCGTTTTCGCCTCCTGGGTTCACCACAGGCTTAAGAATACCGCGCAAAACACCAGAACCTTGACATTTATCCGTTCATTTACTTATCTGTATTCTTTTTGGTCGGCTGCTGTCCCTTTAAATGCGTTTTTAATATCCTTATCGTTTAAGACCATCCCCCTTTTGGTTACTGAATTGTTTGACATTCCTTTATGATATGCACACACTTCATCGCACTTTTAATTCATCGAAGTTTACGTGCGGTCTTTAAGTGGCAAGTTTTCTCGTCCGTACCGTATGGACTTCATCTATAAATATCTGAATCCCCTTGCCTATTGTCCGGTCGAAAAGGTTTTTGTTCCTGTTCCTGTTAAAAGTGGTGTGTCGCATAGATTAGCTGGGGCTTCAGGGGCCCTAGCCATCGTTGCCTGAGCTTATGCCGCTCATGGTATCAACTCGAGTTGACTGTTCACTTGTAGGGTTCGGAAATTCTGAGGATGACCAAAGAAGACGTAGTATGTTTTCAACTGGCGCGCACATGCATTTAATCCATTCGGCAGCTCTTCTCGGGTTATCCGATTGTAGTCAGCCCAAATTGGTAAGATAATTTTAAGTAACCTTGTGTTTGTAAGTCGGTTTCTTTGTTCCTTGCAGGTATGTGCTTGTTTTCAGGGATCTGCTACTATACCGCCTTGACAAATGACATTCGTTTTGTCAAAATTGCTCCTGTCGGCGGAATCATACTCATTATAGCGTGGCTGTCCTTGTTATTATAGATTAGGCCTTGTTATATTTTCATATTCGGAATCGGTCGCCCGAGTCTTTCGGTTTTTTACACCAAGAACGCCCTTCGATTCTTAACTTTAACCGGTGCAATAGCACCGGTCTCCACCTTTATTTAATTTTGCTTATCCCTTTCATCTAGAGGTTTTGGAGATCTATGTTTCTGCTTTTGCATGTAACATGAGATCGTTAGGTAGAGGCGAGTGTCTTATTGTTATTCATATTTTTGATAAATTGATTATCTTCACTTTATTTCTTGTATGACTTCAAAGTCAGCGCGAACCCAGCTATGATCCGTTGTTGGAAGCGGCAAAAAGTAACTGTCCTGCGACTGTCAGTGTCGATTTACGCGTAAGTGAATTTATAGTGGGGGATTTGTGCGGAGTCCGTGTTGATTCATTTCACCGCACACACACAACACTGCAGTGGCACTACACAGTCAAGACTGGAATCGGGCATAGGCAGTATATAATGTTATGGTGTCATCTATAAGAGCTGTACACACGTAATTATATTTAGGCGCACACCAAGAAGACTTAGACGAAGGTTTGGGGTCTGCTCAGGAGTCTTACTCAGGAATGGGGAATCAATGCGGACTGATCTTCAGCTCGAAGGACCGCATCATATTTTATATTAACAACTTTCCAAGCTGCGACTTAACTCCTCACAATATTTCAGCGGTTCATCGATCTATTTCAGAAAGGAAACTTAAGTAGCGATCTGCCTTTGATCGCCTCCTATCGTTCTGCTTCTGTTTACTGGCTGCCTGTTTGAATCGAGCTGACTAACGGTTACCTTATACACTGTCTTACGCGACGCTGGGCGTCTACAAACGTGGCTCGCACGCTTTTGTATCAGCAATTCAAGACGGTCACAAGAGCGTAGGTAGTGCACCGCCTGGAAGTGTCAATGCTTATGCGGTGATAGGGACGGTTGAATACCTTGAGTGCTCGGAGTACAAGCAGCTTAAGTATATTTCTCATTTTCAGTCTACAAACTAGAACATACAAATGAGCAAAACCGTGCATGCCGTTCAACAAAATATCCACGCACAAGAAGGCAATTAACGTTAATTGTCGCTGTATCTTTGCAGTAATGACTATATCCTATAAATGCTGCAAACTCCGTGCATGTTTTACCCTCTCCTGCTACCGCTTTCTGCTAATGCCTCTGATGATGAATCCGCGATGAATGCGAAACGTCAGCCGAATAAAAGTATTGTCCCAGCGATCGAGTCGTCTTCTTCTCAACTAAAACGCTGAGGGCTCACAGGATGCTAGTGTTCATGCGCGTGCATTCCTGGCGTTTCCTGTCTGTCCAATGAGCATTGAAGTGACCTAGTATAACGGATTCAAAGCATTTCATCTTTGGTAATGTATTGTTATGGTGAGGATTCCGGGTGACAGCTACATTTCCAAGCAATAATGTTGACAGTCTTTGCAAGTCTTGTCTTGTCATCTCGCTGACCTTTCCTTCGTTGTATCATATTGTCTAATGGAGTTCATGTGGGAGTGCATAATAATTGTCCGTTCTCGGACACAGACAAAGGTACTGTGGCAGTGTCCTCTTTCTTGGTGCTCCGATCGCCACTGGTCATCCACTGTTTTCCTCGCTGGCTTCTAGCGACCCAGCACTTTGTCACACGTATCGCTTTCATATTTAACTGCGGAAATGGGGTTATCCGTCGTTGATGAACGTTCACCAATCGCTAACGGCACTAACATCCTGTTCTGTCTTGGGTCTCTCCCGATCCCCGCGAGCAGTCATACAGCGGCTAGTACTATAAGCAGAGGAACATTGCGGACAAAGGCAAGGAAAACTTGAATGGTAATTTCAGGCTCACTAGCCGTCATCAGCCGGTCATACCCACTCAAAAGTGGGGCACCGTCTGAGGCTCAAACCCGCGACCTTTTGGTCAGAAGCAAAAATGATCATCTGCCTAAATTACTAGCCACTGTGCAGCTGCTCGAGTATGAGGCCCAA